CCCCCCCAGCCCTCAGGGAAGGACCCTCCCCTCGGATGCGATGGCCTTTGAGCTGCAACCTTGCCAGAAGCTTCTTTTTCCTTTCTATTTTTAAGACCTGAAAGTATGAACGACTTCACTTCAGTTTTCTTCCTCAATCTTGACTGGAAGTCATCAACAGCACAGATGACGAGCAACACTTTGGAAATAGTCAGAGTGTTCTTGAGAGCTCCTAGGACCGTCGGCATGTGGTTAGCAGTCCAGGGGAGTGTGGAGATGAGCTCAGGCTGAATTCAAAGTTAGAAGTTTTACGAGCCAGCATGGAAGGAAGGGTGGGGGAGGCAGGGAGGAAAGTGGAACCTCGCTGGTGGGACAGTGGGAATCAGATCAGATCCGCTCCTTCTAGAATCAGCCAATCCAGGTTAAGGGCCCCCAGGCTGCAGGTCTGTAACCTCAGACTGGAAAAACCCTGAGGCAAAAAATAAAAAGGAAACTAAAGACGGACGGAGAAATCTAGAGTGCAAGATGTGCGGAGACCCAGCAGCTCACGTGTGCACAGTGTTTTAGCGTTATAAGGTGCTTCCATGTACCTTGTCTTTGGAAATCCCAATGTCCCCGGATGGTGGAAAAGGCCACTTCATCACTCACATCATGGGTGAGAAAACTGACATATTTTGCCAACTTACCCAGGATCTCACAGCTAATACACGGGAGAGGCTAGACTCCCAAGGGTGGCGATTCCCACCATCTCCCGGGTCGGAGGATGCTACCCAGGGCTGCCTGGGGCCACAGAGCAGGGTGAACGCAGACATCAGCCTCAGAGTGAGCGATGTCAGCACACTGCCCCAGACCCCCAAGTCCATCCCTAGTCACCTCTGCCAGGTCCAGAGAAATACACCACATATGGCTGCCAGAGTCACCCACCGTGATGAGGAAAAACTTCTAAACAGAGTCCAAACAGACGTTTTCTGGTTCGGCTCAGGTCTAGAGCCCCATGTGGAGTTGTCAGTTAGATTTTGGGGAAGTCACAGAAAGACAAAGACTGCAGCCCATGAGATTTGTGTTTTGGGCTTGGCCTCATTTTTTTTTTTAAGAGAATTATATATTTTTTAAAAATGGTGGTAAAATACACATAACATAAAATTTATCATTTTGAATTATTTTTACCAGCGCAGTCCAGTGGCATTAAACAACCCTCATCACCATCCTTCTCCAGAACTTCTCCACTTTCCCAGAGGGAAGCTCGCCCACCCCACCTCCCTCGTCACCTTGGCGGCCACCGTTCTACTCGCTCTAGGTAGCTCATGTAAGTGGAATCGTACAGCCTGTGTCCTTCTGTGACCGGCTTATTTCACTTAGCATACCTAATGTCAAGATTCACCCATTTTAGAGCATGTGTCAGAACTTCCTTCCATTTTAAGGTTGAGTAATATCCCATTGTGTGTATAGACCACATTTTGTTTGTCCACTCATCCATCAACGGACGTTTGGGTTACTGCCACCTTTGGGCTATGGTGAGTAATGCTGCTATGAGCGTGGGTGGCCTGGCCTTTTGTTTTCTCCTCAGACTTGTCCCCTGCTATTCTGTGTTGCTACAGGTTACTTCAGGTACACACATGGGTATTTACAGCCTTGATCCATAGTCCAGGGCAGTTCTGAAGCAAACTTTAAAAAAAAAAAAAACAAAAAAAACCCTCTACTATATTCCATTCCGGTTTGGGGGGACCGCCAAATGTTCCTGAGCTGCCAGGAAGCCAGACACCTGCACATCAATATCTAGTCTAGAAAATGCTTTCGAGAGCATGGAGACAGGTGCTTAAAAGGTGCCCGAGAGTTCTATTCCTTCCGATTTCATGACATTAAAATACTTTCAAAGGCCACAGTGGGAGTTTTTACTTAAACCAAAGAGCTTCCTCTCACTAATCTTTCTCCCACAAAAGTCATCTAGAAATGAAAGGCAATTTTGCTAAAATGAACAAGGATTTCACCTAAAGGACATTAAAAATCCTCACCTACTTTTTTCTATCTGAGCATTTACAGTAATTTAAGGTGTGGGAAATCAGATTGCTCAGGATCACACTCAACCAAGACCTGACCTCCAGCCCACACCCCGGCTATGTTCTGTCTCTCTACCCCCAACCCTCCCTCAACCCAAGTCGGCACGGTATTGGTGACAGAATGAGGGCCAGGGGACATGCACTCACCAGCAGGGCATGCCGCTCCAGCCTTCACAGTGGACGCCAGGCGCTCCCCTTGGCTTGTCCAGCTGCCAGCAGCTGTCACACTGCCCCTCTCCTCCCAGCTAGCTAGGTGTCACTGAAGCCGCAGGAGCCACGCGGCCGTTAAGAGACACTTTATGCCAGAGCTCCACTTCCTGGACACTAGCGTCACGTTCAGCTACAAAGGTAGTTTTGCTTTGGGTTGAAAAAAAAAAAAAAAAGGAAAGGAAGAAAGCAATCAAATGAGGGAGGGAGACTTGAAGCCTGAGCCTCAGGATGAGTCACCGAATCAAAGTTTAACAACCACATACAAAACAAACTCTGTGAGGGCTCGGGCTGGCTGCACAGGAGGGACTGGAAGAGAGCAAAAGCATGAACAATGCGAAACTTCTGTTTCAAGTTCCCACTCGTGCCTCCGGCTGAGAAAAGCAGCTGGTCCTAGATGCTTCCAAGGGGTCGGGCCCCACGACCTGGTGAACCAAAACACAGCACATAGGAGCAAAGGGTGTCAGGTCGAGGGAGAGACCATAGCTGCATAGATAGCGTTGCACAGGGCCATGGGCGTGGAGGAGGACCCTGTCCTTTCCAAACAGAGTCACAAGCAAGTCACCAAGTCCTCAGGCTGGAGGACCGGGACACTACCTCTGTCAGGGTTATGAGCCCGGGGTCTGCTCTCCACAGCCCGGCATGGGGTAAGCTGCTGCTTCTCTCTCTGTGGCCAGGGAGCCGGACCCCAGGCCCACCTGACCACAGCATCCTGCAGCCCAGCTTGCCACCAGCCTCAGAGGGGATGGGCCCCAGACCCCAAACTCTGTGTTTATGTCCTGCACTGGGGGACACCCAGCAGGAGTCAGAATAAGACAAAGGACACAATCAAACTGCACAGTAGCCCACATCCTACCAAATGACAATGTCTCTAAAAGTAACTGTTGGGGAAATTTTCTGAGATCCAGACACCAAAGAAAGAGGCCGACTGCTCCATCAACGCATCAAGAGTTTATTAAGGGAACTTAAATACGAGGCGCATCTTGGCAAGATGAAGTGCATATCCTCCTTGCCACATGGAAGGAGCTAAAGAGTTATGTAGTACAGGGCAGGATGAATGGGGTACTGGTGTATAACTGCCCTAGATAGGGGGAAAATGCCTTACGTGCCTGCCCGGGGTAGGGCAATGGATTGGTCCAGGAGCCAGTAGTTCAGGGAATAGGGGAGGGGTCAGTCAGATTGTCTCTGAGGGATTTATGAGAAACAATCTCTACTGTCCTGGATCTAGCTCAAGGGTCAAGCAGTGGTCACCAGCTAGAACAGTCTCTTCTCCACAGTGACTCGTCCAAGGACACACAGCCAGCCACTTGGTCAGGCTGGGTTTAGAACTTGGAAGCTGGTGCCAAGGAAATAAAAGGGGCACAAGTTAACTGGAATTTGCTGCTCTTCTTTATTCCCCCTCCGTCTCCCATAGATTTGAGGCCATTTAGAACAGGGGTCCCCAACCCCAGGGCCATGGACTGGTGCTGGCCCGTGGCCTGTTAGGAACCAGGCCGCACAGCAGGAGGTGAGCGATGGGTGAGCGTGCGAAGCTTCGTCTGTATCTGCAGCCGCTCCCCAGCGCCAGCATCACCGCCTCAGCTCCACCCCAGATCGTCAGACATTAGATTCTCATTGGAGCACCAGTTCCTGGTACCAAAAATGCTGGGAACCGCTGATCTAGAATATTAAAACACATATCGAATGAAATCATTGAAATAAAAATTAAAAATACAATCAGAAATTATTAGAAGAAAAGAACATTTTACTAGCTATCTAGCTTAGAATCGTCACTTCGTCTGAACACTAATGCCAGCTTTGAGTTTTCGGGAATGATGGATTTTCTAATAACTGCCGTTTGTTCAGCACCTCCAGAATATTCGGTACTTTCCATCAAAGTGTCCTAATCCCCACAACAGCATAGGAATTATTATTTTCATTTTTGAGATGAGGTCATTAGGGCTGAGAAAGGGTAACCAAATTGCCTAAGTTCATTCACTTGGTTGAGTCAGATTTGAAACCCAGGGCCACCCACCAGGCTCCAAAATACTCTCTTGACAGGGTCTCATAGCCTCCAGGATCCCTAATAAATCATTCAGGGTTTTCAAGAGAAATAATTATTTCCGTGGTATTACATTTTAGGAAAAATCTAAAATATCCTCAGCTCCAGTTCTACAGAAGATGCAGTGTGTACGGGGGTAGGGGCGTCTTCAAATGCACATTCTTCACAAGAAGCCTCAGTAAAAGCTGCACGGTTACATCTTGACTCCTTACACCTTGACCCCGTTTCTATGGTGAAACGCACTAACGTCATCCGAGAGCCTTGTTATCTGATTGTCTAGCCGAATAAATCAACGGAACCTAGAGTCACATATTGCCAATGGGTTCCTTGGACAATCTCTTCCAAATACTACGTGACTGAGTCACGTTTTTTTTTTTGTTGTTTTTTTTTTTAAGTCATAGGCTCACAAGCAATCAAGGAAGGAATTCCCGAGGAGATTGCCAAGTGAGACCACGCTGTGCACTTAATAAAAAGATGAACCTGGGCAAATAACACTTTTTGTTTTGACCTCAGATTGAACAGGATAGGTACCCGAGTGACCAGCACCAAACCGTTTGACAAAAGAGACATTCGAATCTGCTCAACTATCAGACAAGTATTTGGCAGCCGTCCCAGAATTCTGTGTCTTAAATCCTGGATGTTATTTAGACCAGCGAAATTGTTACTTAGCCGTCTCTGTAAGCCAAGAAGCTCCACAGATGCCTTCACGGCATCTGAGTCAGAGAAAACGCATCTTGATTCCTCTATAGCTAAGATGACTTAGCTGCTATGACTCTGAGAAACTGAAAGCAATAAACCACGATTTAGGCTATTTGTTCCCAATCGAACAAGAAATAAGATCTGCCAGAGGGAACGATTTTAGTTTACACATTGCCGACCCAAAACTGGAGTCGGCACGTGTCTCCATATGGTCAAAAGCTATTGAGTACGAAGGAAAGCGTAGGACAGCAGGCCGGCCACCCTTCCCTTCCTCCTCCGTTGAAACCTGGCAGTTCATTCTGCCCCGCAGCCATTTCTGCCCACTCAGGCCTTTGCAGAGACAGAGGTCTGTGCCCTCAGGAAGCAACCTGGAGGTGTTGAGACAGTGCATCCTGAACATGTAGGTACAGACCCTCCGCAGGGAGGGGTACACAGACTCACAGGTGGATGGCATGTGCCACTGTCTCAGGGCTTCGCGAAGCCCTGGGAGCCCGTGGAAGGGCCTGGGTCAGGACCCCTGGCTTGGCTGCTCCCCTCGCCCTGCAGCAGCAGTGAGCTCCAGCAACAGTCTCTTACTGTATAATCCGCCTTCTCAGTGAGTTAAACGGAGGGTAGGTATTCGCGGTGATGTCGCGGACTTGCACAGGTTCAGCCCTGCTAGACATCACCCGACGGCGCCCATCCCGTGACACGTCCAGCAGCCGCGGGTGGCATAACTGTTTCTCTGTCTCTTCGCCAAGCTTTGCGAGTGGGACACACTTTGCTTTTGGCCCATTTGATGTGTAAGAAATGGTATATCGTTTCTCGTGGTTATTTTAACTTTCGTTTACCTGATTACTAGTGAAGTTGAGGATGTTTTCATATGTTTATTGGCTGTGCAATTTTCCTCTATTTTTCCCCTCCATTACCCATTTTCCTCTTGGGTCCTATTTTTCTTATTGATTGATGTTAATCTTTATATAGCTTTCATACTAATCCTTTATCTGTTGTATATGCCAGAACTATCTGCTCCCAGTCTAATACTTGTCTTTTAGCTTTGTTTATGTTTTTCTGGGGCCTGTAGATGTTTTTACTTTTGTATAATCAAAGCTATTGGTTTTTCTTTCATCATTTACGTTTTTGGAATTTAGTTTAAGAAATTCTTCCTTATCCTAAGATTGTAAAGATATTTACCTATGTTTTCTATAAAGGTGTAAATTTTTATTTTTTATAATCGGGCTCTCATCACGATCTGGAATTTATTTTGATGAATTGTATGAGTAAGGATTGTCAAGGGAGGGGGAATATTTCCTCCTTACCTTTCTTAGTTCATATTGGCTGGTCTAAAAATTAAACTGACACAAGACAGAGCAACCGGAGAAAAAAACAAACTTAATTTGTACGTACAGAGGTCTCATAAAAATGGGCCCCCTTCAGTGACTATTGTTTTTAGACAAAGGAACAATTATTTGTGAAGATTGGACATAACCAAGGGGTTTATTTTGGGGGTAACAAACGAATGAGAAAGTAGCAGAGTTTGCTCATATAGCTTTCTCAGCACTTGATTCCCTAACTCTGGTGACAAGGGTGCCTCCTGTCCTCCAGGGATAGGGAGGGTGGTTTCAAATGGCAGATGTATCTCCTGTGTGTGTGTATGTGGGGGAGCGGGGGAGGGGGAAGGAGGAAGGGAGGATGATCAGTGTCTTTTTTTGCACCAGCTGTTTTTCAAGTAACTTTAATTCAAAATAATCAATAGGCCACTGTGGCATATTTTGGGACAAACTGTCCTGAACCCCAACAGGATCTAAACTTATTATAATAAGCAACTTGATGTCATAAACTCAGACTACCCTGCCACTTATTAGCTGTGTAACCCTGAGCAAATTATTTAACCTCTCTGTGCCTCGGTTTCCTCATAGGGAAAGTGGGGATAATAATCATATCTGCCTCATAAGGATATTATGAAAATTAAATTAATTAATGCACATAAAGTGCTTAGGACAGTGTTTGGCGTATATTAAGTGCTCAACAGATGACTCTTATTACTATGAGCTCACACTTTAATGAAGTGAGTATGATGAGAACTTATTATGGCAAAGTCGAACACCCAGGAAACACTGAAAAAATGTCAGAGGGCCCCACAGACAAATAAAACAACTTTCTCGGTCACCATAGTAATGTGTGCACCTACAATACACAGAGAAGCAAGTGGAGAAGCGGTTGTCATTGCTATAATGGCTTAGCCAATAAACTAATTGCTGTTGTTATTGGTTTAGCCCAATAATCTAATTTAAAGTACTTTAAGTTCATTAAATAAAATCTGTCTTTTCCTCTAGGTTCCACCTAAGATGTTATCTTAAATAGCTACAGGGGTCAGAGCACCAAAAACTCTGTTAAGCACATTTTGATTTCATTTCTCACTGTGCA